ATGACATCTTAACTATATTTATTCTTCCTATCCATGAGCATGGAATGTTTTTCCATTTCTTTGTGTCTTCTTCAATTTCCTTCATAAGTTTTCTATAGTTTTCATCATACAGATCTCTTGTGTCCTTGGTTAGGCTTATTCCGAGGTATTTTACGGTTTTTTGTGCAATTGTGAATGGGATCAGTTTCTTGATTTCTCTTTCTGTTGCTTCATTGTTGGTGTATAAAAATGCAACCGATTTCTGTACGTTGATTTTGTAATGGGTTAAATAATTTTATAATTAACTCTGAATAACTCCAATCCTTCTACCCTCTCAGGTGAAAACACTTTTAGTGGAAAACATACTACAGAAGAGAATCTTTGTAAAATGATCTCCCATAGTCAAAATACCCTCTTAAATCACTGTCTGAGCAAACCCGAGGAGGAAGTTAGCATTTGAGAGCAGACTCAGGATTACAAGATCTGATTAGCTTAAAAGATAGCAGGATTTGGCATTTTGTTCTTTCTCTAAGTTCCAATGTTCAAAATATTTTACACATCACAGGTTTCTCTATGAATACTCAAGGAGACATCCGGAACTGTCTACACCAGAGCTTTTAAGAATCGTTGGCGTGTATGACGATCTTCTGAAAGACTGTTGTCACACAGAAAACCCTCCAGACTGTTACCGGCACGCGGTAGGTTCTACTCTTCTGGGCTCACAGAACTAAACAAAACAAAGCCAAACAAGCACTTCAAAACTGATATCAAAATTTTACTTCAGTTTAGGAGGTAGAAAATGTGATTGGCCAATCTGAGTCTACTTAAAATTTTTTTTAACGTTTATTTATGTTTTTGAGAGACCGACAGAGACAGAGCACAAGAGGGGAAAAAGCAGAGACAGAGAGAGGGAGACACAGATTCTGGAGCAGACTCCAGGCTCTGAGTTGTCAACACAGAGCCCAATGTAGGGCTTGAACTCATGATCTGTGAGATCATGACCTGAGCCAAAGTCGGACACTTAACTGAGCCACCCAGGTGCCCCAGTCTGAATCTACCTTGAATTCAGCGAGGGCTAATTATTGGGAAGACTGACATGTTAGGTTTCTGTGCAAAGCTTTGAACTACTAATTCTGTGTGTTCATGCAAAAGAGCTCTTCCCATTTATATCTTTCTTTATGTACTCTGCATTTTATTGAGCCATATTGAATTTTTTATGATTGTAAAAGTAATAAATGATTATTAAAGATTATTAGGAAAATCCCCAAAGTTACAAAGACAAAATATAAAAACTTTGATACTGTCATTGAGAAATTGCTATAATTAGCATTTTCTTTCTTCTTTTCTATGCATACATGTATATATGTGTGTGTGTGTTTAAAAATAAGATTGGAATAGTACTTTCTTAAGTAATGTTTATATCTAGAGGTACCTGGGTGGCTCAGTTGGTCAGGTCATGGCTCAGGTCATGATCTTGCAGTGTGAGTTCAAGCCTCACATCAGGCTCACTGCTCTCAGCCTGTCAGCACAGAGCCTGCTTGGGATCTTCTGTCCCCCTCTTTCTTCCCCTCCCCCACTTGTGGTCTCTCCAAAAATAAATATTTTTTTTTTAAAAAAGAAATGTTTGGGGGTGCCTGGGTGGCTCAGTTGGTTAAGCATTCAACTTTGGCTGAGGTCGTGATTTCACAGTTCCTGAGTTCGAGCCCTGCATCAGGCTCTGTGCTGACAGCTCATAGCCTAGAGCCTACTTCAGATTCTATGTCTCCCTTTCTCTCTCTCTGCCCCTCCCCTGCTCTCTTCTCTTTCTCTCTCTCTGTCTCTCTCTGTCTCAAAACTAAATAAACATTAATAAAAAAGAGTTGGGGAGGAAAAAATATTTTAAAAAAAGAAATGTTTTTATTTATTTTCTAGTTAGTATGACAGAAAATTTGTCATGTCATTAAATGGACTTCAAAATGTACTTTATTTTAGATGATGGAATTTCATCATAATAATTTATTTAACTGTCTTACTACTATATGTTGGACATTTTGAACATTTAACTAGGTTTTTAATTTTATAAGTGACCCTGAAATGAGTATCTCATTCCATCCATCTTTATTAATATCTATGACTTTTTCCCTAAGATAGATTACCTGAAGGGAAATCATTAGGTCAGCGTATATAGACTTAAAAAAATAAACACTTGATACTAATGCCCAAGTTACTTTCTAGAAAGTATCAGCATACAGTCCCACAACAGTGCTTGACAATATTCACTTCACCCCCGTCCAACCAATCCCCACCCCACCCCACTGTCACCATCAGTGCACATGGAAGTTAACTTTGCTAGATTTCAGTGTAAAAAAAGAGTGACAGTGTTTTAAGCACTTATTTGATTTTTAAATGAAATTAGGTCTTTCCCATATGATTTTAGATATTACAGTTATAAATTTCTTGTGAACAAGTTATTCATGCCCATTATCCGTTTTCCTGTTGAAATTAGTGTGTTTTGGTATCAATTCATATTCATCCCTTATGTAGTATAGAAATCAATTATTTGACATTTCTAATTTGTTTTCCATTCATTTGATATGAGCTGCTTTTTTGCTTTATTTTAAAAATTGCTTCCACCTGCCATAAAAGCCAGCTTACACCCATTCATATTTGAGCCATGAAATAAGAAGGTTTGACTTCCCATCTAGCTGTCCCTAATGAGGAAGTCTGCTCCCAACCTTCAAATGAATGAATCATAGTGCTAGAAAATTCTGTTTTCATATGGAGGCATAATTTGTCCCACAGCATCCATCCACTGGCGTGTAGTTTTCTCTCTGGTGGCCACTCAGTAGATATCTGATTTTATAAAAATGTTTTGCTCTTATTTTTTAGAGAGAGAGAGAGAGAGAGAGCAGGGTAGAGGCAGAGACATGGAAAAACAGAATCTGAAGTAGGCTTCAGGCCCTGAGCTGTCATCACAGAGCCCGATGTAGGGCTCAAACTCATGAAACAATGAGATCATGACCTGAGTTGAAGTCAGATGCTTAACTGACTGAGCCATCCAGATACCGCAGTAGATATCCAATTTTATGGTGCATGGGATACAGTTTGTCAAATATTTGAAGACAAATGCTGGAGTTTTAAAGTTCCAATTCTAAATAATGAGGAGGTATAAAATAAAGATAAATGTGATTTAAAATGTTCTGTGGCAATACTTACTAGCTGGGTCATTCTAAGGCAAGTCATTTGGCTTCATAAGAGGCTAATTTCCCATATATAAAAAGGAGGGATTGCTCTGGCTAGTTGAAAGCGACAATCAGTTATGCCCATTGTCAACATAAGATTTGAATTATACTTTGTAAACTGGGAAGCTCTAAAAAGTGTACACGATGATGATGAAAAATTTGCAGATTTCAAATTTTAGCATAAACCATATCTATGTTTATAGCTGAAAAGGTTTAAATGCTTACACTCATAATAAAAAAAAACTACTCTCGATTTAATGAACAATGAGTGGTAATCATAGTTTGAAAATACTATACAAATAAAAAAAAGCTATTTGCAAGTTGACATGAAGCTTATGATTAAATTTTAGATAAAATGTTCCTGAATATGATTGTTCTTATTTTTAGGAACTGAAATTCAATGAGACAACTGAGAAAAGCCTCAAGATAGTACAACAAGAATGTGAACGTTTCCAGAATTTGGGGAAAGATGACTTGAAATACTAGTAAGTTGCCTGCACAAGTACATTAGCACTTGTGACCAGGATAAAATAAAGAGTGCCGCAAAGTGTCAAAAATTCAGCTCAGTCATTCAGTTATGGCAAATTCATAAACTGGGAAACATAAAAACATAAAAGTCAAGCTGTCATAGTAAGCCTTTGCCAGGAATGACCCTAGAAATGAAAGAAATACAGGATTCTGTGGAGTGCCCGGATGGCTCAATCCGACAAGAGTCTAACTTCGGCTCAGGTCATGATCTTGCAGTTCGTGGGTTCGAGCCCAGAGGTGGGCTCTGTGCTGATAGCTTAGAGCCTGGAGGCTGCTTGGGATTCTGTGTCTCCCTCTCTCTCTCTGCCTTTCCCCTGCTGGCTCTGTTTCTCTCTCTCTCTCTCTCTCAAACATTAATAAATATTTTAAAAATGTTAAAAGAAAAAAAAGAAATACAGGATTCTAGAAAATTGATTCTCTAATGCTTAAGTTTTTGCTTGGTCTTGCTTTTCTCAATCTCAAGCCAGAATCACTGGATTTTGCCCCATTTGGGAGGGCAGAAGAGTGAACTTCAGATTGTTACAATTTCCCAAGGAAAAGATAGTTTGCCCAGAATTTGACCCCATGTTACCAAGTTTATAGAAATAATTCTGGTTTGCTTAACACTTTAATATTTATTTTTTTAGTGCTCTTGTGAGTATTTATGAGCAATACACAGTTTATTCTGATTTTCTTAATTAATTACCAGACTAATATGGTGTGTGTTTAAACCAAACATCTTCAAATCAAAACACAGTTTTAAAAACATGATTTCACTGTCTCTTTACTGAAGTCAAACTCAGCCCAGTAAAGATATGTTTCCTTCATCTCAGATTACCCTTTCTAACATGTATCTATTAAATTCCCCTTTAAAATTTATTAATTATTCAAGGGATTTCAAGCAGGATTTTACATACTAGCCAAAATATTTGCTGCCAGGAAGCTCCTATACCCACAGGTAAGAAAGGATGAGCAAATCTGAGAATTTCTGAGATTGCCATGAAATTAGAAGGAAGCCAAAAATGCAGAGTGTGGGAAAAGAGGATGTAAAGAGACAGTTATCTATCATTTTATGAGAGAGCTGAGGTTCACATTGCCCTTATATTGGTTGTCCCTAGACTTGAAGAGTTGGGGTTTCAAGTAGCTTAACAAGGGAAAATGGGTATTTGCTTTTGTTTAGAACCAAACAGACAACTGTTCTTTCAGCTACCTTATCAAACTCACAAAGATAGTCCCCCAGCTCTCCACTGAAGAACTGACCTTTCTTGGCAAGGAAATGGTGACAGCCATGACCACCTGCTGCACACTGAGTGAAGAGTTTGCCTGCGTTGATAATTTGGTGAGCATGTCATATGTACCTAATTATTCTGAAAAGAAAAGAAAAGAAAAGAAAAGAAAAGAAAAGAAAAGAAAAGAAAGAAAAGAAATCTGCTGCACTAATTGATTTATAGCCATTAAGCAGTTATCTGCCTTTCTTCACTGTTTCAACATTGTTAAGCAAAAAATGTCAAAGATTTTTGGGGAGCTCACTGCATCAGAATCCTAAGAAGCAAGAGAATGTCTTAAATATTTTCTTGGGGTTCTCCAAATCATCTCTTTTACTTCTTCTTATTACTAATTTGTTATCTGTAATTTGTTAGAGCAAATGGCAAGAATAATGATATCATTCCAGAATGATATAAGAAACTTTATAATTTTAAGTAATGTCACAAATTCAGTCTTGCCCCACCATGTCAGTAAGAGACTTGATGGCTCCTGCCCAGTCAGAACTTGGGTGTTTCTCTTTAGGGCTGGGATGGAGACTATGCTGGAGAACATCTGAGGAAGAGATTAAATCTAAGGGCCACAGTGTTTGGCTGTCACTTTCAGTCAACTGGTTTTGCAGCTCTCTGCTCACAATTACAGATTTGTATATATGCCAACAAGAAATTAATCTATAGGCATTTGAATTAAAATGGCTTGAAACTTTATCATAATGCGAGCTTCTACTTTGCTTCATATGTAGTATTGTGTTCACAAGAGCATGGGTTTTTCTGAGTACAGTTAATAATCACCTTAGAACAGCCTAATGATTTATCTAACCATATTTCAAAACTAATCAAGTTTTAAACTCATGTCTGAACTCCATCATCCATTGGCACAGGTGGATTTAGTTCTTGGAGAGTTATGTGGAATAAATGAAAATCGGAACATCAACCCTAATGTGGACCACTGTTGTAAAACCAACTTTGCCTTCAGAAGGCCCTGCTTTGAGGGCTTGGAAGCTGATAAAGCATATGTGCCTCCAACTACCTCTCAAGGCTTATTTACCTTTCACACAGACTTGTGTCAGGCTCATAATGAGGAGCTCCAGAGAAAGAAAGACAGGTATAAACATTTTCTTCCATTCATCTTTTTCTTTAGCCTGAAGGCCCATAACGTATTAATGAGAGGGTGTACGGAACTGCATATGCAGTTTTGCTGTTATAATCCTGTTCCTTCCATCAAATTGTCCAATCTCTCCAGTTCAGAAAAATGACAGGGCATATTTATTGCCATTGCTTATAAGTCAAAACCTAGCTAGTGCTTCTCTTGCTAGACTTGGAGTGTCCAGTGTACTGGATTTGGAAAGGTGAGCTAGGACAGCCAGCATAAAGCCTCACGGGGAAGTTCATAATGAACTGGATTTTCCTAAGGGAATGTCATAGATGTTTGCCCTGAGAATCTTGCTAAATGTTGAAAAAATGAGAGGCCCAAAAGGGACAAGGATTTTACTTTTGTTTTCTCACACAGTGTTATAAATGCTAAAGAATAAGATTTTGGGGGGAGGGGGTATGATTTAGGTAGTGTCTATATCAAGTTGAGTGGAAGCGGCATTTAGCAGCATTTAGAGAAAGATGGAATAAAGGTTATTTTGAAAATGGATTTTCTAGAAAAATCAAATGTAATCACATAATCTATAATTCTTGCATAATGAAGACCTCATATATGTTTACATTTGATACCATTTTGTTTATAATTACACAACTCTCCAAAAAATATGACCATGAAATCCATTGCATAAGCTGAGCAAAAAAGTTTCAGAAAACCCCTTCAAAGTGGAATATCTTAACTTTTTATACTCATCCGAATCAAGACCCCCCCAAATGTGATACTGTGACAAGTATTTTGGAGAGGGAGAGCTTAAGAAAGAGATCTTTAATTAATTCTGTTTGACATCTTTGGGTCGCAGTTTTCTTGTTAATCTAGTGAAGCTAAAGCCTGGACTTCCAGATGAAGAGCTGCAATCATTGCTTACAGATTTCACTAACGTGGTGGTCAAGTGTTGCCAAGCAGAGGGGCCTGAAGCCTGCTTTAATGAAGAGGTAGTACTATTTCTTTTCCATTGAAATTCAGTTGGTCTTCATGGTCAAATAAAATAAAATGGAAATCCCAATAGGACCTTGCTTCCTCTGTCTCTGAGGCCCCTGGAAGCACAGTTCCCACATGGCTAATGTGCAGATGTCTGTGTGGAAGGACTTTGACACTGTCTCCTTGGTGACAACACGATGTAAGAAAAGATGTTAGGAGAACCTGGGTTCTAATTCCAGTAGCCTAGGTCATGTAACTTAAACTGAACCGTAGTTCACCATCTATAGATGAGGATGGTAATAATAATCCTTGAATTATGCCATTGGTCCTTACTCTTCTGTTTTCAATCACTCATTAGCTCAATAAAACAAATAGCCAAACTGACTTGCAAAGGAAATCATCATCAGCTTCGAAGGGAGGGGAGCACGAAGGGTATTAGTATGTGAATTGTCTCAGAGGGTGTCTGTCTCACCTTCCTGGGATCCCTTGTCCCAGGAATCCCTCAGTTGACAATACATGTGTGTGAAGTGAGGAGTTGGGGGGGTGAATGTAGTGAGGGGGAAGAGAGGAAAAGTGCTCTTTGCTTGTCCTCCCACCAGTGACCGGAGTCTCTCACTAACTTGCTGTGTTCCAGGATTCTCAGGTACCTGTGAACGCCAGTCCCAAAGGATGGCTGCGTGGAAGTACCTCTTCCCTGATTTCCAACTTCCTTCCTCACTATTTCTTTCCCGGCAACCCCCACTCCACCTTAGACTCACAATTCACATGCACATACAAACTGGTGCCACTCCAATCCTTCTTTTTTTTTTTTAATTGTTTAATGTTTATTTATCCTTGAGAGAGTGAGAGAGACAGAGAATGAGCAGGGAAGGAGCAGAGCAAGAGAGGGACACAGAAATCTGAAACAGGCTCCAGGCTCTGAGCTGTCAGCACAGAGCCCAACGCGGGGCTCGAACCCACGAACGTGAGATCATGACCTGAGCCGAAGTCGGACGCTTAACCGACTGAGCCACGCAGGTGCCCCCAATCCTTCTTGCACACTCATAGACACGGACTCACACACAGCTTTCATTTTGGTGGAAAACCCTCTACTTTGTCCAAGTGAGTGCTTAGTCTGTGGAAATTTTGTGTGTGCATGATTCAAATCATTAGCTTAAAAATATGTTTAATGTAATTAGAGGTTCTTATTCAATATCTAGCATTTACTTGAGTGAGTGTGTACATTGAGGCCATGGAAAGGGAGGGATGAATTCACTGACAGTTCATAAAAGGCACTTGGAGAAGAGATGTTCATTGTCTCATGTACAGTGTGGGACTGCTTTAATTTTTCTTCTCAAAATTTGAAGGAATATGCTTCTCCAAATTTAAATAATAATGTCTTAAATTTTTCTATGTGTTTTTGTTTGTTTCTTTTTTTTTTTCCATCTCTCAGGGCCCCAAAGTGGCAGCCAAAAGCCAGGTTGCTTGAGAAATATAAAGGAAAACTACCAAAGGTAATACCTGCTTATTTTAGTCAAATGCCAAGGCCCGTCTTCATCCTCTAACATCTCTCTGGGTGTGTTTGTGGTAGCACCTTCTCTCACTGTTCAAACTTTCTGAGTAACCAAAGGCACCCACTCTTCTGCCTTTCTCCTACTGCAATCTGCTGTCTGGACCAGAGCAGAGAGGCCATTGAAGCTCTGAATATGGACAGAGAGGAGGAGTTAGGATGGACAGACAGGACTCAGAGAGAGAGAGTGGGGAACAGCGAGGGAGAGAGAGAGAATCTCAAGCAGGCTCCTCACTGTCAGTGTGGGCCTGATGTGGGGCGCAATCTCACGAACTGTGAGATCATGACCTGAGCTGAAACCAAGAATCCAAGGCTTACCTGACTGAGCCACCCAGACGCCCCCTCAGTAAACCTGTTCTAAGAGTCTTACTGCAGGAGCATGGACATAAATGAAAAGCAATATATTTGTGATTTCACAAAGATCTGTAAAAGATGGCCTCTCTTCTGCAGTTTAAGACTCATACACAAATTTTAGGAACGAACAATGTTCAGTGTTGGGGAAGAGGGACATGGACCACCACCGTAGAGAGCAGGTTTGGATTTATAAGAAGCACAACATACGACACACAATTTTTTATGGTCAGGACTTTCCAATGCTCAAGTTAAACTATTTCACATTCTTGTGTTGCATAAGATACTATTTTTTTTCCCAGGTTGTGGGGAAAAGAAGAACACCGACTTGACCTGCTTCCTATCTGTCCTGCAGTGGATTTTACTTTTCTGAGGATACCGTGAAACGATTCTTCTGTAACCTTTACCTGAAAGCAATAAACACAGAATCATCAAGTTATTTCTCAAAGACTGATCTCATGTGTCAACTTGATAACAAAATTAAACAATCAAGATTCATTCATTCCATCAGTCTCTTTAGCTCACTGGCCAAGGGTACACAGCTCCAGGGGAGGTAGGGCTCCGAAACAGCAATGGTGTGGACAGAATCCTCACTGATGCTGTTCTTGCTGCCCATGGAAGGGAAATGGGGAGCTGAGGATGGGAAACATTGCTGCTGCTGTTGCTAAGACTACCAGCTGGCACTGAATGTTTTCAATGTTCACAACATTGTCTTGAGCACTTTTCATGCATTATCTCATTTAATCCTAACAACTCTACGAGGAGATATCATTTTAATTCCCACTTTACAAACAGGGAACTTGAGTCTCAGGGAGATACATGAATCTGTTCCAGGTCATAGAACTGGTAACTGGCAGAACTAAGATTTAAATGTGAGTCCTCTAATTCCAGAAGAGTAATTTTGACTTCCGTACACACCACCACCTAGGCGTGGCCATGTTGAATGACTAATAAAATCTGTTATTCATAGAGAGGGAGGAGCACCCAAGGCATCAGTGACAGTAGCTGTTTTCTCCTGCCATAATTCCAAGCCATAATCGCTGTGAATGCTGGAGATGTAAGTGCTCATCAGTGACGTTTCAGGAGAGTGGTGGGGACAGGGAAGCCAGGGAATGAAGGTTGGCCACGGCTCATGGCCTGACTGCTATCTAAACTTTTAATGTTCTTAGTGTTTCAGTGCCTGACATTGAAGATGATGACCATTTAATAGATAATACATGAGAATAGTCACAGAGCTCTCTTGGCGTAGCATTTACAATGAAGTCTTTGGGATTTTCATTTATTTCATCAACAAATATTTATTATTCTCCCTCTGTGGATACAAACATGAGCCAATTAGAGATGGTTCCCCATGGCAGGGGAGAAGGATAGTAAACAAGCAATCACACATGCTATTATGGGGACAGAAAAGGTCCCCTGCTGTGGGAGCACCTTGCACAGACACTCAACCTAAGCTGAAGATGCAGGGTGAGAAGGAGCAAGGATCACCAAATGCCTTCTGCCTTAAACTTGTTGTATGGCCTCAGATAAGTTCCCTACCATCCAAAACCTCCATTTCTATGTGCCATGTGGGAGAATAACATCTACATCACAAAGGCTTTAGAGAAATTATTAAATCACTAAATAAAATACCCAATACGATGACCAGCAGATAATAGATGTTTATTTCATGATGTTATTTTATCCTTTTGCCATTTTTTAAACACTTCCATTTACTAATGAGAAGAATAGGAAGAAAGTTTTACTTTGATAATGGATAATAAGTTTAGCAAACAGAAGCGAATCAGAGCACTTAGCTAATTCAATTTTGTACCTAATAGTGGATTCTGCTATGTATCCAGTACTGTGCTAAATGTAGCAGATATGAAACAAGAGATCCAGGAACTTGCTGCTATCACAAGACTCTACAATCACAGAGGATATTGTCAAAGAACTCTCTACTGATATGCCAGAGAACACACTAATAAAAAGCAGGTAAACAGCATGATGTGAGGAAAGGAGGGAAAGGAAAGAGGATGGTTTCTTCAAAAGATATATTTTGCCTCGAGAAGAGAGGTTGTGGAATGAGGGTAACTCACACTTACTCTGTATTACTCAGACAGAACTCACACCAATGAATAGAACACACCAGCACTCAGCACATGAAGAATTTACTAGCTGGATAAGACTCAGGATACAGTAGTTAGTGCCAAGACTTCATGTGCATGAGCAATCCCCACCCAGATTTTAGGTGGGATCCAGGGATCCAGTCCTGGTCTTTCTAAGTCTTCTTACAACTCTCTTTCTATGACTTAAATAATAAGTAGGTTTGTTATGGGGCATTGGGTGGCTCAGTATATTCAGTGCCAACTGTTGATTTTGGCTCAGGTCATGATCTCATGGTCATGAGATCCAGACCTGTATTGGGCTCTGCACTCAGTATGGAGCCTGCTTAAGATTCTCTCCCTCTTGGACGCCTGGGTGGCTCAGTTGATTAAATGTCTGACGTCAAGTCAGGTCATAATCTCACGGTTCTTGGGTTTAAACCCTGCATCCAGCTCTGTGGTGACAGAGCCTGGAGGCTGCTTCAGATTCCGTGTCTTCCTCTTTCTCTGCTCCTCCCCCACTCATGCTTTGTCTCTCTCTCTTTCTCTCTCTCTCAAAAATAAATAAACATGAAAAAAGTTTAAAAAGTATTGTCATATCTTCTAAAAAAATTCTTTCCCTCTCTCTCCTATCCCTTCCCCATTGCATGCATGCATGCCTTCTCTCTTTAAGAAAAAAATAGAATTAGTTTTGTTGTGAAATAGTATTTATTAAAAATCATCACTGTGTCTTATACTTGTATGCCTTCCATTTTTTACCTGAAAGGTCAGTGTGAAGATTTCACTCTTTTAGAGAACAAATTCAGTGCTGTCTTTTGAGCATTATCACGAAACTCATCCCCTTGCTTTTGTTTGAATAATCCCCACTACTTGTTTTTCTCTGGCCTGAAATTCCATCATTAGTCACTGATAAACTACTTAGCATCTTTTTAAGTTTTCAAGAATCTCTTATTTTGAGATGAAAGTTCCAATAGGATGCTAATGTTGTCCAGATTTTTTAAAAAGAAGAATTAGTTTAGCACACATATACATTATTTTTTTTGAGTCAGCTCCAATCAGTTAATAGTGTCTCTCTTGTGGCACTGTGCAGTGAATGATTCTAAGTCTGAGTCAAAGTTCAGAGAGAGAGCACAGTGATCAGTTAGTAATGTCTGCAGGGGATGACAGTCTGGAAGCACTCATCCAAAGGATTTGTCATCCCTGAGTAATAGGTCCATTTCTGATTGTTCCAGGAGGCTCAGAGTAAGATCTCAAGGGCATGGCTCTAAGAATGCACAACAGAGAGATGCTGAGCATTAGAACTGTTTAGAGGACCCCAAAGAGGATTATAAAAATCCGCCAAAGATAATGTTTCCTTTGCTGACCTTAGTTTTCCATCACACATCATCTATATTCTTTATCATTAGCCAGTGTGTCCCATACCTGAATAATAACAGAATTGTCATTATTTTTCAGGCAAATATTTTTCAGGCAAAAAGTCTTTCTCACTTGTAGTATTTTTTCTTTTTGGCTAGAAAACCAGAAATGAGAATATATGGGTAGTAGAATCAAGCAATGGACTGACAGTCTTAGATTTATCTGGTCCAAATTCTCCCTATATAAATGAGGAAACTAAAGATAGGAATTGTTAGAATAGTAATCAGTGATCTCTCATATACAAAACTTTTGGACTCTACATTTATCTTAGACTTTTTATGTAATCAGTAGTTACCTGTTTCTTCCTCTAGACCCCCAAACTGGATGTTAGGTAAAGGGGACAATAGCTGAGGAATGTTGACATCTCAGTTTTCTATACTAGCTCTTGGGTGGTGTGGGCTCCAAAGCCAGGCAGACCCGAATTTCTACTTGTGAATCCATGAGCAAATTATGGGATCCTGATTCTGTTGTTGTTACTGATCATGTTTTAAAATTCAATTTTTAATTTTAATTCCAGTATAGGTAATTAAGATAATAGTGTTATATTAGTTTCAGGTAACCAGTATAGTGATTCAACAATTCTACACATTACTCTGTGCTCATCATGATAAATGTACTTTTAATCCACATTGCCTATTTCACCCATGCCCCCTCCCACCTCCCCTCTGGTAACCATCACTGTGCTCTAGAATCTGTTTCTTGGTTTCTCTCTCTCTCTGTCTTTTGTCCTTTGCTTGTTTCATTTCTTAAATTCCACATGAGTTAAATCATATGGCATTCGTCTTTCTCTGACTTATTCATTTTGCTTCTCATTATATTCTCTAGCTCCATCCATGTTGTAGCAAATGGCAAGATTTCATTCTTTTTTATGGCTGAGTAATAGTCCATTACGTATATATACCATTTCTTCTTTATCCATTCATCTATTGATGGACAATTGGGCTGCTTCCATAATCTGGCTATTGTAAATAATGTGCAGTAAACGTAAGGATGCATGCGTCCCTTTGAATTAGTGTTTTTGTATTTTTTGGGTAAATATCCAGTTGAGCAATTACTGGATCCCAGGGTAGTTCTATTTTTAACT